AAAGGCAAAAGGCTTCTTTTACTTGATAGATATGGTGATCTTTCGGAAGAGAGCTTTGGTAGCCCTTTAATTGGCATAGATCAAGCGGGCCGTGAGAGGGAGAATATGTATAATTTGTCACAGCTGTTCCTCTAGCTTTTTGTTACTTAAGAAGAACGTAGTAGAAGAGAAGAGTCAAGAGTTACTGTATCAATTCACCCGTTTCTGGGTGAAGTAGAGCAAAAAATTGGTTCACCCATTTTTGGGTGAACCAGAACGAGCCGAGTATGGTCAATTTGCCAGACCCACCCGTAGGCACGGAGGGTGTGGTCTGGCTACGCGAGACTAGTCGCGCCCTGCCCGTCCCGTCCCGTAAAATAGTGACCACCCTAGACTCCAGGAAAAGAAATTTGATTTCTCCAGCTGTCGACATCATCGCTATTGGCTGAGCTTAGAATTCTCCTCTGAGTCCTCTCCCTTACTACAGCACCATGGCAAGTTCAAGTTCACAATCACAAAGTCAGTACTATAAAAATAGATCAAGTCTAGCCGGCATTCATAACTTTAAGGTTTCCGTCTATTTATTTTAAAATAGGCACCCTAAACAAGTTACTGGATGACTATTCGTTATTAGAAATCCAGCTAAGCATAGAATGTGATGAAAAGCTTTTTTGTGACCTTTCAATTGAAGTAGTATTCACCTTGCCCTCACTGGCGATACGGCTAGGATTGACAGGAGCTGAATTTCAACAGATTGAGAAGGATTATGAAAAAGATTACAATAGACAAAAGATAGAAGTGTTTCGGAAGTGGAGAAATAAGAATTCAAAGAATGAGACTACTTATCTAAGTCTGATCAAAGCTTTCGTTGAGGAGAAGAACATGGAAGCTGCTGAATCTGTCATAGATTTTTTAAAGAGAAAATGTATGTAAATCATGTGTTCAATTAAAATTTAACTTTTTTCTAGGCCCTTCATGGACCAGCAGTCATTTTGAAAGTGTACAAAAGCCATCATCAGAGATAGTGGCTCCAAGACATAGTGATCAAGGTAATTTGTGATAGTTAATAAATTGGGGTGGCTTGTGCAGCTGCTATTTGATTTATCAGCACCACATGACTTTTGAGAGCAAAGGAATTCTTAGAAAAATATGGGAAACACTGCCTGGAGGCTCATTTAAATGTTTTCTTTGCTTGCTACATGTAGATGTCTGCCATTTTTTCTGAGCACATTAAGTGGCCCACAATAGACCTTTTTCACTGAAAGGTGTGAAAGAATTTTTATTAGCAATAATTAATTGATAGTTAGGCCTGAAGTGTACACAGCCAAAAGTAATCATGCCTAAATCAGCAATATTGCCCAAAATGAACGAATCAAGTCTGATATCAGTATTGTTAGTCCTGACAAGTATCATTGCTGATCATGCCTGATATTCTGGCCTAAACCAGTGCAAAACCTTTTCATGATTGAGTCGCAACTGATTTCATGACTGTATCGTGACTGATTGCCCAAAATACA